CTGTTTTAAAAAGTTGATTTCAAGAAAAAACATAATCATTATTCCCCCCCCCCATTCGTGTTCATGACACACGAGGAAGATGAAGTAGAGTTCACCTGTTTTAATGACCTGGACATACATGGAACTAGTGTGGTCAGCACCGAGTCCAGCCTCCTTAGTTTCCCTGACGTGAGTTCGGTACCCCTTAGAGCTGGGTGGACTCAGAAAAAATTATGTAATCTCTCGTTAAAAATTATGCTGATCGTCGTCTTTAGCCTCATGGTGACTTCTTACTTCATTAAAACAGAAACAATGTGTAACTGTTTGATTCTTCATGTCGTACTTGCCAACACGTCGTAATAAGAAACACAAATACCACTACGTTTCCAAATGAAACATTTTAAACCGAAACTTACTCTTTTAAATTTACCTTTCATCCCGACGGTCTATGGGGCAAGTGAAGTCGAGTTAACTTTTTTCTCTGAACTCGGCGTATGAAGGGATAGTGTGGTTATCACTATGGCCAGGCGCCTTTCAATTTTAAAGTAACTCCTTATTTTATTTTCTAGTATGTTGTTTGGTATCGCTTACTCCCCTTTATGTTTACTTACGACTAATATGAAATGAGATTTTAAGGAGAAACACCAAAATACAATACAATTACTCTTGTGTGAAACATAAACCCATGCATAATTATTTTTTTAAACAATTTAAGTAAATATTAAATTGAACAATATTTTAATTTGAAAGCAGATGGCTGTTAATTTAATTTATCACGCACTTTGATTACAAATTAATTAAAAAAAAAACAACAACCACAAATTGTGTAGCTATGTATCATAATGTGGTGTTCAGGTGTTATCAGTTTGCAAGTAATGCAGTTTTTTTTGTTACACCCAGTGTTTCTTTCAGACTTTTTCTCCGGGTGGGGGGGGGGGGGCACTGTTAAAAGTATATATTTTTCTATATAAATTCTACTGCGTACATCGTGGGAAGAACAACAAGAGTAGAGATGGGAGGTTGAGAGGCATGTTGGTTGAGTGGTTTGGAGGCTAGTAGGTTGGGAGGTTGGATGTTTGCAAGGTTTAGAGGTTGGATTGTTGAAGTTTGAAAGGGCTAGGAGGTTGGGATGTTGGATGTTTGCGAGGTTTAGAGGTTGGATTGTTGAAGTTTGAAAGGGCTAGGAGGGTGGGATGTTGGATGTTTGCGAGGTTCAGAGGTTGGATTGTTGAAGTTTGAAAGGGCTAGTAGGTTGGGATGTTGGATGTTTGCGAGGTTTAGAGGTTGGATTGTTGAAGTTTGAAAGGGCTAGTAGGTTGGGATGTTGGATGTTTGCGAGGTTTAGAGGTTGGATTGTTGAAGTTTGAAAGGGCTAGGAGGTTGGGATGTTGGATGTTTGCGAGGTTTAGAGGTTGGATTGTTGAAGTTTGAAAGGGCTAGTAGGTTGGGATGTTGGATGTTTGCGAGGTTTAGAGGTTGGATTGTTGAAGTTTGAAAGGGCTAGGAGGTTGGGATGTTGGATGTTTGCGAGGTTTAGAGGTTGGATTGTTGAAGTTTGAAAGGGCTAGTAGGTTGGGATGTTGGATGTTTGCGAGGTTTAGAGGTTGGATTGTTGAAGTTTGAAAGGGCTAGGAGGTTGGGATGTTGGATGTTTGCGAGGTTTAGAGGTTGGATTGTTGAAGTTTGAAAGGGCTAGTAGGTTGGGATGTTGGATGTTTGCGAGGTTTAGAGGTTGGATTGTTGAAGTTTGAAAGGGCTAGGAGGTTGGGATGTTGGATGTTTGCGAGGTTTAGAGGTTGGATTGTTGAAGTTTGAAAGGGCTAGTAGGTTGGGATGTTGGATGTTTGCGAGGTTTAGAAGTTGGATTGTTGAAGTTTGAAAGGGCTAGGAGGTTGGGATGTTGGATGTTTGCGAGGTTTAGAGGTTGGATTGTTGAAGTTTGAAAGGGCTAGTAGGTTGGGATGTTGGATGTTTGCGAGGTTTAGAGGTTGGATTGTTGAAGTTTGAAAGGGCTAGTAGGTTGGGATGTTGGATGTTTGCGAGGTTTAGAGGTTGGATTGTTGAAGTTTGAAAGGTTGGGATGTTTGGATGATAAGAGGATGGGTAACTGGTATGTTGGTTAATCAGCAAGACTTTGATTTTTATCATTGACTGAAGGATGTATTATGTTTTATTTTATATATATATATATATATATATATATATATATATATATATATATATATATATATATATATATATATATATATATATATATATTTAAAAGCCTTAATTTCTGCTTCCTTATGAGTGCCGACTGCACTTGTGGCCGTGACGTCACATCGAATCAAAAATATTCCCTGCATCTCTGACCATGTTAGTTCAGCCTCTCCTAACCCCTTCTCTACAGATGTCTTCCAGAAAATTCTCATCTTGTCTATCTTTCTCCCTCTTTTAATGGTTCTCACCCCAGTTCTAGCCACTTTGATATTTAAAAATTGTGAGGTTTAGAGCTTTTCATTATTTAAAAAAAACCTAAACTCTTCTTCAGTGACAAAAAGTAAAGATAACAGTTATTTCCCTTTCAGCTACGGAGTAGTAAGTTACAAAATATTAAGTAACTCAGTAGTTAAAATTTCGCCAATAAGATACTTTTATTTTTTCAACACATTCCATTTTTTTAAAAGTACAAAATTATTTTTTTTCTTAAAAACGTGATAAAATAAAATAAAATGAAAAAAAAAAAAAAAAGAAATAAAATAAAATAAAAATTTAAAATAAAAACAAAGGGACGCAACTAGAGTTCAACAGTACGCCGCGAGTTCTCTTGGTCTGCATAAATTGTAACAACAATCACACACCATGCCGGGAATTTCCGTTTCTCGTTTGTATCGGTTGCTGTTTATCCTGAATATACGCAGAAGCTCGTTCATTATATTGTCCGTTTCCTCCAGTGAATTGTCGAATGGCGATTCTAAAACTGGTCCGTCCTCTTCCGATGTTAAAGAATATTGGTCTGAATCTGTAGGGGAGACAACACAAAATTAAATTTTTGAAATATATTTTTTTCCTGATAATAACAGAATAGAGGTTGAGCTTCGATTTTAAAAATGGCATTGTAAGCTGAGATGCAAATATTAAAAGAAAAAAATTGGGGATTCTTTTTTACTTTTTTTGTGACGGCAATTAGTTAGAAACAAGGACAAGAGTGGACATAAATTAGGGAAAATTAAGGTGGAAAAGTTTAGTTGTTACAATGGAGAATTTGTAATCGTTGCCATGGTAATCTGATCTATGCAATTGGATTTTAGTTAAAATTTGATAACTTAATATTGAGGATTTTTTTTGAGGGGGATTGGGAGGGGGGGGGGGGATGGGGAGGGCTTCTTAATGTATCAGGGATTTAAAAGTAAAATAATAAAGTTCCCTTTCAAACCTGACGGTCTATAGGGCACGTGAAGTAGAGTTCACTTGTTTCGGTGACCTCGACATATGAAGAGATAGTGTGGTCAGCACTATTCCCAGCCGCCTTTACTTTCCCTAACGTGAGTCGGGTACCTATTAGAGTTGTGTGGACTCAGTGACGGTCTACTGACTTGAACCCGGATTCGAACTCGAGACTGAGACTTACGGGTTACTAGTCCAACTCTCTACCGCTAGACCACTCCATCAAGGATTTACTCCAAAAACATGATAAGAATTGCCCTTTATCATGCCTTGGGTAGTACGTTTTAATTTAAATGTTACATTTCTCCCAGCCACTTGACCTCACACATCAGGGGGGAAATATGACGTCACAATTAGAAAAATATGACGTCACACATTTGGGAAAATATTAGGTCACCAATCATCACTGCTATTTGATGTCACACAAGTCACCTGCTACATCTATGCTGATTCTCTCCACGTCACGCCGCTTTAAGCCACTCTGGTGTCACAGCGCTTCTTTTCACGTGACGTCACAAATTCCTACACATGACGTCACTCCCCAGTCATGACGTCACTCCCCCCCCCCCCCCCATTCCACGTGTATCCCATGAGCTAAAGACTTACTTCGTTTACTGACGTACGAGTCCCAGCTCTCGCGGTTGAGCTCTAGCTCGGCCAGGACAGCCAATGGAATGTTGTAGATGCGGTTGTTGTGCTCCAGCTGACCCGCTGACCGCCGGGGCCGGAACAGCGAGGTGTGGTGGTTCATCAGGAGGAAACACAGGTTGGAGTGGGCGCGGGATAGCTTCGAGCCGCAGAGTCCCCTGGGGAAAGTAAAGAATTAGTTTGGATTTGGGTTATTTTTTAGTGCTAGTGCCCATCAATGAACTTTCAAAACGTGTGGTACTTATGTGGTCTTGGGTTCATGGCTATTCACAATTTTTAAATTTTCACCCCCCCCCTCCCACCCCCACCTATTCCGAATGAACGTCGTAAATGAATGACCCCCATGGAAAGAGTAAGGGTTAGTGTTAAGACCGAGCTAATGGTTTAAGGGATTAGGCTCTTGTTAGGGTTAGGCTATGATTAGGAATTAGGCTATGGATAGGGGCAGAGGCGTCGCGAGGCGGGGTCGTGGGGTGCGGACCGCACCTGGTGACATCATTAGGGGGCGTGACACCAAGAGAAACAAATTGCAAGATATATAGAATAAATATGTTGTTTGCCAGTTAAATGAATGTTTAATTAGAGTTAAAAAGTAATTTATGTACATATTGACGATCCCGACAAGGGGGAGGGGGGTGACATCATGACGTAAACTTTTAAACTATAGAGAAAAAATTGCCACATCCAGCCGTATTAATAACTGACTATAGAAAAATATCATTAGTATTAAATGTGAGCACTTTAAAGCTTTTATCATCGGAGGGGGCGGGAGGGGGGGGGGGGACTGGCACCAACTGCAAAATTTACAGAGAAAAAAAAAGGGGAGGGGGAGGATGACACCATAAGGTGCCGCACCGGGTGACACCCAACTTAGCGACGCCACTGGATAGGGGTTAGACTAGATATAGATTTTACATTCAAGTTTAGGCTGTGGTTTGTGTTTTGGTCGGATTAGGTTTAGGTTACGGTTCACATTATGGTTTAGTCTAGGGTTAGGGTTTAGACTTACTGTGGGTGTGGCCTGGAATCTAAATTGCACGCGGCCCTTGTTGTCGTCTGCACCGCCTCCTGACCTTGCGTGAACCTGTTGCTCAGTGTGACCACAGCCAGCATCAAGGCCAGACATCTTGCCATGCTTGCATTCATGTCTGAAGTTCAAACAAACAATATCACTTAGTACATTAGTAGTACAACTCAAATGGTAAAAAAAAGTCAAGCTGTATCAAAGGCGTAGCGACCCTTCCCGGCGCCCGGGGACAAACTTTCGATTTACACCCCCCCCCCCCACCTCAAACTTTCAATTTGTTTTTCCAACCCATTTTGGCGCCCCCTAAAGTCGCCGCTCGGGACATATGTCCCCCCCCCCTCGCTACGCCTCTGAGCTGATTTCGAACATGGTAGTCCACGGGGGCCATATCAATCCAGCTTCTCTTTTCTCCATCTACAAGCATCCACAAGATAGCTTCTCCAGAATTAGGGTATTTTTTTTTTCCAAACAGTTATTCAAAAATGTTTAAAAGTAAAGTTCCCTTTTCGAACCTGATGGACAATGGGGTAAGTAAAGTCAGTGGCGTAGCGAGGTCGGGTGCCACCCGGTGCGGCACTTAATGGTGTCACCCCCCAGAGGCGTAGCGACCCTTCCCAGGGACAAACTTTCAATTTTCGATTTGCACCCCCCCCCTCAAACTTTCGATGTGCATCCCCTCAAACTTTTGATTTGTACCTCTTAAAAGAATATTTAACACTCGAATTAATCACTTAATTAAGTGGAATTATCATTTTCTGTATATATTTTACTATTTTTTGCCTTGGTGTCACCCCCCTAAATGGTGTCACCCGGTGCGGTCTGCACCCCCCGCCCGCCCCCTCGCTACGCCCCTGAGTGAAGTAGAGTTTACCAGTGTCTATAACCTCGGCATGTGAAGGGATTATGTGGACAGCACTATGCCCGGACAAAATCTATTATAACACACGGACTAAATGTATTATAACATATATCCCAATACTTCTTCATATCAGTTGCAAACGACACTGTAGGCCAGGGGTTCCCAACCCCGTGCCCGCGGCGCCATGGCGCCCGCCGAACGATTCGTATGTGCCCGCCTCTCACTATTCGACAGAGACAGAATTTTTTTCATAAACATTATTGAAAGGTTGAAGGGGATGGAAATCGAAAATTTGAGGGGGGTGCAAATCGAAAGTTTGAGGGGGGGGGGGTGCAAATCAAAAGTATGAGGGGGGGGTGCAAATCGAAAGTTTGAGGGGGGGAGGGTGCAAATCGGAAGTTTTGTACCCGGTGACGGGAAGGGTCGCTACGCCTCTGGATGGAGTTTGTCGACTTAAAATAGGTGGTGCCCGCCACCCTACCGATATTTTAGAATGTGCTCTAGAGTAAAAAAGGTTGGGAACCCCTGCTGTAGGCAGTGCGAAAGAACAACCGGAAAAAACAACAACAACAACGGTATAGCTCACGAAGCCCCGCTCGCATAAATCCTCCTACAGAATTTTAAACACTGACATAACATTACACGGGTAAATTAGGGGCTCTGTTAGATACATTATAAATCCGGTATTGCATGTCAACAAAACTAAATGAAAAGTGGCAGACAAATTGAGATGTCACTTTTAAAAATATACGACTTTTAAAACAAAGTAATTTTATTTTCTATGGTTATTTGATATGTACAGGATAAGTACTAATTAGACAATGCCTAACTAGTCGTTAATTAAATTTAAGGTGTGTACGGTTAAATTACAAAGATACGACTAAACGGATTAGATTATTACCTATTTGATATACCTGTCCCAAACAGCTGTTTTACTGACTCCACTGTGTCTACACACTGGGAGAGACTCCACAAGATTTACACACTACACATCTACTCGTGACTACTGCTCAGTTTGTTGCTAAAAAATTATATTTTATTTGTACGAGTCTCGGAAGCCTGACATTGCTTAAGTGCGCACTAACATTCATATGAAAAGACATTTAAAAAAAAGGTTTCAGCTTTGTTTTATGTAACGAAATCTTTGAAACTTTTATATATATATATATATATATATATATATATATATATATATATATATATATATATATATATATATATATATATATTGGTGGGTTTAATATAATTATGTTCTTTCTATAGAACAACCACATTACGAAACTCGACCGTCTGCGGTTGTAGGGTAGGTGCAGTAGGATGTTGCTGTAAGTGAAATATAGCCCGATCAGGATAAAATACGTGCTTGGTAAGTTGTCTTACCGGTTTTACACAGTCTATTCCTCTCCAGTCAGAAATAGAATTTAAAATCAGGGGAGATAACAACACTTAAAATAAAACTAAAGGAAAGGTAAATTAGGACGATGGAGTATATATATATATTTATATAAGTTAATGCCTTATTTTAATCCTAAGTTTATTCAGCGTGTGATGCTTATCACAGTACGGAGATGATTTAAAGCAATGCTTGCTTATTGAAGGCAGCGTATGTCATTTAGACAAATCAAAATACCAAAGCACGTTTTTAACTGTAAAAATTCAAATATTCTAGTAACCTTGTTTGTTAGTTACTTAAAACTCAACGCTATTTTAACGAGCAAGTTATTTGTATCTTTATTAAATCTTAATAACCTCATATTCAGACAAATCAAAATATCAAAAACTCATTTTTTTACATTTATAAAAATTCAAACTAACCTTGTTTGTTAATTACTTAAATGTTAAATATAACGTTATTTTAACAAGTAAATTAACTTTAAGTATCTAACTGCATATTTTTTTATTTTAACAAAATCAAACATACAAATTTGAGGTCCGCACATGATGAACAAATATAACTTAAACCAAAATGTTAACTTATGTTATTTTAGAAATAGAAATGTCAAAACTGTGTGCAAAAGCTGTATAAAAGCATTACAAAAATAGATTAATTTTTTTAAAATTAATAATAATTACTATGCTGCATTGTTAATTAAGTTGGTAGACAGACATACCTCGATATTGAAAAAAAAGAGTTAATTATAATAGGAGACAACTCCGGAAGAAAAACAAATGACAGCAATTAAATTATATCCCTTTAATAAATCTTTATCTTAGCTAAAACAAACCTGATGGACTGGAGACACAATCGAAAGATTAATGAACGTGGTTAATGTTTAAACATAATTAAGATTTAATTAATTCCGGCCATCAGAATCATCGGCGGCTGCAGAGTTTTAGTTTGCTTGGGAAATCACATTGGAAATCTTGTTTCAATGAATGGCTGTACTGGACAATTAGTTGATTGGAAGATGAGATCAAGGGGGGGGGGGGGTAGAAGAGCGGGTGGGCGGGAGGGAATGAGAATATAGAAGTTTCCTGGGGTCGACGTGGTCTGGTGGGAGAGTGTTTAAGTGCTAACCAAAAAATGCCCCGAGTTCGGACCCCCCGGGCAGATGAAGCTCGTTAACTGGGGGACACTGACCCATGCAGGAAAAAAATAACCCAAAAATCAAACAAATGCTGCCTCGTCGGATGATCTTGGTTGAATAAGGTTATTGAAACAAAAATTATGTCTGGAAAGAACACAGTTAATTTTTTTTTTGACAGACGTCAGAAGCAATATCTAATTTAAAATTTTCTTTTTATGCGGATGATGGGTCAACCATAATTCACGTCATGCTTTTAAAAATGTCCCTCCCCATCGTCACTCAACAGATAGGACCCCACCCCCCCCCCCCTTTAAAATGACGTCACACGCCAGCCTCCGCACGTCATCAAAACTGCAAATTTTTTTGCGATTTCCTTTTAAAATATGAAGTTAGTTTGGCCTACACCGAGTATATTGATAATACATATTTACAGCGATTTACATAAAAAAGTCTATTAAAAACGTAAAATAATGGCTAAAACTCAAGACGTAGCGTTACTCTTTTAAATGTATAAAGTGTGTGTCGTCACAATTTCTCATTCCCCGTCGTCACATATCGTCACGTAATGTACGTACTCTACCCTCCCCCGTCTGTGAGTGGTGACACCGTTTATGGACGACCGGTTAATAACGATTCTCCTTATACCAGAAACATTAGCAAAAACTTTTCATGTTTTTTTTTTCTCTCTGAAGAACCACTGTAGTAATAACAAAACTAATGACGTGACACCAGTGGCGTAGCGAGGTCGGGTATCAACCCGGTGCGGCACTTAATGGTGTCACCCCCCAGAGGCGTAGCGACGACCCCCTCCCGGGGACAAATTTTCGATTTGCACCCCCTCAAGTTTTCGATTTGCACCCCCCCCCCCCTCAAACTTTCGATTTGCCACCTCCCTTCAAGTTTTTATCTATATATTTTGCTATTTTTTTGCCTTGGTGTCACCCCCCCATAAATGGTGTCACCCGGTGCGGGTCCGCATCCCCCCGCTTCCCCCCCCCCCTCGCTACGCCTCTCGGCGTGACACTTATTTTCGGGATTTTCGGGAGCCTTTGTAAAAAAAAAATTGTTTTGCTCAAAACAACTATTGTTTTAACAAGTTTCACATAATATAAATATGGCTGGTAATAGATTTTAAACTGCTGTAGTCTGCTGATTTTGATAAGCTCAACTATTGGTTGTTGACATTTAACGTATTTTGGTGGACTAGACGCCAGTGTTTCTTTCAGTCATTTTTCTCCGTAGGGGAGAGGTGGGGGGGGGGGGGGAGGGAGAACGAAACTTTCCGGGGGTTGGGAAGGAGGGCGGACTTTGGTTAAAGAATGTATTTTTATATTCATTTTTCGTCAGGGAGGGGAGGGGGGAGTTCAAAGCGATGCCCGAAAGAAACTCCGCTGGGCACGTGGGTCGGTGTGGTTGAGTGGTAGAAACTAGTCAGGCTAACCCTAAAAGATTTGAGAACCAGGACTCAACTGCCTGGACCTAGGGATAACACCACGACTGGTCACCTAACTCAACGAAAACCCCTATAGACTG